TGGAGAAGGTAGTGGTGATCGACCTTCTCTATTACATGCACACTTCATGACTACCATGTATATCTTTAAAGAGGATTTAACAGAGCACGACCAGGTTTTATCCTGAGGTTGATGACAGCCGCATGAGCTACACCAAAACATGTTGACTGTTTTTTAAGAATACCACTAATGAAACAGATCTCACCTTGGAAGAAGGAAAATCAATCTGCAGCCGTGGTCCGAGTTTGACAGATGTGCGGTTCTAAGTTATTTATGTTCAGATTGTTTTCCTTCTCAGGGAGCGAAAGTGTCACTTCCCGCGAAATCATCCGCTCGACATCGCCGGTTTTTTAGCAGGTTTGTTATGTTTACCTCAATGCTGTTGCACTTTTGTTCAGCTAATGAAAGGAAGAATTACAGTTTTACTACTTTTATCACTGAATACACTTAATATTCCAACTGCACCATATTCATTTGCATAGAAATGTAATCAAAATGGTTAAATCAGACCAGTTGCAACATTACATGGATATTAATAAGAATAAGAATGTTCATCATAACACATTTATGTCATAGATGTACTATTTGTACTCATTAGACAGAAATGTGATAAATCAAATGTACATTAATGCTGCCTTTCATCAGGGATGAATGTGGGTTTCATTTCTTTCTGTGGTAAATTTCAAAGGAAACAAGTGGTAATATTGTATGTATTATGCTAATTTATACAAAGATTTCCTGGCAGGTATGAACATTTTTTTTTACCTATACTGGTTTAAATTACAAAAACTGAAAATACTATCCTGCAAGTTCAAATGTATTTAGTCTTACGTACATTACGTTATTTCTTTAAGTGTGCAAGCTTTGAATTATTATTCAACTGTACTTAAATCTATCAAATCATCATTCTCAACAGCCTGTGATTGACCATTGATTAAAAAAAAGTCACACCTTTCACAGAAAGAGCTGTGGAAAAATATCTTGCCATCTCTCCTCCAAGGTACAGAGTGTTGTTTATCTGTCTAAACTATTGTGACTGATCTCAACTCCAGATAGCTCACACTTCCGCCCCTTTATGACCTTGACAACCATTATTTATTGTGCTGGCTGGATGGTGGAGCAAGCTGGTTATCTTGATATTTTGGACTCCAGGTGAATGGTTTCCTTGAAAGATCATAGCTATCAGCTGAAAACTGGCTCAGAGGATAAAAACCCTCTGTGTGATGGAGATACCAGGATCCTCAAATCTCTGCCATGATCATCACACTCCCACATATAACATATATATCGAAGTTTATGTTTATTACATATAGATTTTCAACCAAAATTAATTCATGTAAATGTTATTTAATTCATATTTGATAGTATAATTTAATATTATTTTATGTAAAGCACTCTGAATTGTAGTTGATTTGTTTAAAATGTGCTACATAAATAAAGTTTGATTGATTGATCGATGATAAATGGCTGATCGTCCTGCGCAACATTACAAATCAACCAAGCTCTTTTCACTGCACTAGCCTGGCACATGCACGATTCAGCTATGTTCAGCCAAAAAGCTATAAACCTTAAATACATTTGTAATATTCTGCTGAAACCCATACGTTTTGTTCTTTAAACTCTGAAGAAAATCTATACATTCACAGAGTTGCACATGAAACTCAGGCTTTTATCTATGTGATTATTTATCAATTGACACCATTGTTTTTTTTCTGGTGGAGAACCTGTTCATTAAACCAGACACAAAGAAGAAAAAAAGACTGTCTGAATCAAAACTGTTTTTTATAACCTCAGCCTCCCTTAGGGTTAGCCCCCATTTTTAGGACACTGTGTTGATATATGCAGTGGTTGTTGTCACTGTGCAGGTATGCAGGGGTGTGCTACTCTACATGTGGGCATGAGCTTTATTCTTCATTCACTGATCCTCTGCACTTTGCTGGTGAATGACTCACTAAAAATCTGTCTTGTTTGGCAGGTGGTGGATTAAACCCGCTCTCTTCCGGTTACGAAATATAACAAATCAAACAAACCTGTAGCTTGCTAGGATTACTGAGTGGAAAATATATCACTGTATGGCCTTCTGACCCTTTTCACTAAAGTGTCAAAACAGATAATGAAACCTTAGTTTACGCACATGGACTATAAACTCAACATTACAGTCAGTGCATACTTATCATAACTCATCCTTTTCAGTTAACTGACCAGTTAACTTTATTATTAGCAGCTGTTGAAAAGCCACGTATGAACTACAATTATACAAGATGTTTCTTTAGTTTATTCTTCGCTTTTCATTCTCTTTGCACCATGTGTACTCTGTGTCATTATATGCTGCCTGTGGAGCAGGTTTCAGGTCCATACCAGGGAGCTGATCAATACTCTGATCACTGCCACAAACACAAATGAGAGCAATGATTATGCACTGAATGAAGGCAGAGTGAGACACTGTGTGTAAACGTACTCATGTTGACATAGTATGTGCCTCACGGAGAAGAAAACATCTTGCTCTAGTCAGTTAAGTGACAAAGAGTGAGCTTGTTGAAGGTGGTAAAAATAAATGGCCCATCACTGCTTTGAAAGACAAAGATTATGTCTGTTCTGAATAAATCAAAAATCTTAGGGAATCATGGTTTTATTCCAGAAAAGTCAACATAACCAGGACAAAACATTTCCTATCCCTATGAAAAATACAATAATTTGGGAAATAAAGTAAAACATGTGGCTCATTTGGACAGTTTTTATATTTTAGTACTAAAAAAATAAGTCAAAGGTACACATAAAACATACAAAAGGGAAAAAAATACATGCAACAGTTTTCAAAGTTCATTTAAGGTTCACTATCCGAACTTTAAAATCGAGTGAGTATGAAAATGGAAAAGAAAAATAGACTTGATTCAAAATCTGCGTTGCTGCTTATTAGGTCCAAAGTCTCCAGGTCCAGGGAGGCCTCTGGGGAAGCCGCCCTGACCTCCTCCAGGCATGTTGTTGTTTCCTTGCCCCTGCATCAATGGAGTATTCTCAGCAGCCATGCCGGGAGTACCTGCAGGACCAGAATTACCACCCAGAGAGTTTCTGTTCATCCCATGGCCGCCCATGTGCATTCTCATGTCTTGCTCCCTGTTTTCAGAGAAGTTGCCTCTGAAGCCCTCCTGCTGCCTCTTCATCATCTCCTCATTGCGCATCCTCATCTCCTCCTCTCTCCTCCGGCGTTCCTCCTCCTGCCGCAGCTCGGCCTGTTTTCTCTTCTGCACCTCCTGACTGTGGAGCTCCTCCATCCTCCGCAGCTCCTCCTGGCGTCTTAGCAGGTCCTGCCTCATCAGCATCACCTGATGCTCATGTCTGGCCGCTTCCATCTCAGCTTCCAGCTTCTCCTGAGCCTCTTTCATGTTGCGGTCCACCATCTCATACTGCTGCTTCTCCATCTCCATCAGGGCCTTCCAGCGCATGGCATACTCGAACTCGAAGGAGCCCGGCTGGGCAAATCGAGGAGGCTGCTCGCGCTCCTTGTGATACTGCTGGTTTTTGTTGACTAGCTTCTCTGAGAGTCCCTCCTCTTCATCAAGCTGCTCCATGGGTTCCACTGTGATGGGGCGAGGGAAGGCTGTGAGAACATAGGCACCATCACTGCACTTATCCAGAGCTTTTCTTGCAGCTGGCTTTGAGGTGTACTCTACAATCCCCTTCCCTGTGGGCCTCCCTCGGTCATCCACTATGACCACAGCTCTCTCTATCTGACCAAACACGGCGAAGGCCTCCTCCAGCAGCTCGTTGGACACAAACTCTGGCAGATTCTTCACAGACAGAGCAGCACCGTGGGTCGCAAACCTCACCCGTATGGGCCTGCCTCTGAACTGGGTATCGTCCAGCTCGGCTCTGGCGATCTCTGCAATGATCCTGGTCTCCAGCCGGATGAAGCCGAAGCCTCTCTCCTTGTTGACGAAGATCTCGCTGGCCTTGCCGTACTTGTTGAAGAGCTTCTCGATGTCCTCCTCGGTGACTCCGGTCGGGAGGTTGCCCACAAACAGCCTGCTGCGCTGGGTGAAGGTCTTCTCCCCCGGCTTCCTGAAGCTCTGGATGTCCAGGGTGAAGGCCTCATTGGGGCTGGACTGCTCACTCGGCTCCGGCTGCTGGCCGTTGGTGTTCGTGCCCCCGGGCTTCTTCTGCTCTCCCGGGCGGTTGGGGCCATGGTTCTGCTGAGGGCCTTTGTTTCCCTGCATCTTGTAACAGGATTTAAACCCGAGTGGAAGAAAAGCTCAATGGAAAGCACGCAGACTCTCGGTGGACGGTGGCGCACAAAGAGCTGCGAAAATGGCGAGCCTGCGTGCTGCCGCGACGCTATTGTGACCTCATCTCAGCGCGACGTGTGTATCAAAAGTCGTGACGTCGCATCTGTGCGACGGAGCAAGAAAAACAAAAAAGCTGCACTGCTCTCTACTTAAAGATGTTTATTATATGATATATAAAGTCAGTGCAGCTCGTTCTCGTTAAATTTTGCGTTACGTTAGATTTTTGTATCACAATCAGCGTCACGTACTGAAAAACGAAGCTTATTTTGTTCTCGCGAGAGTTCCGCATACGTCTTGAAAAAACCGGCGATGTCGAGCGGATGATTTCGCGGGAAGTGACACTTTCGCCCCCTGAGAAGAAAAACAATCTGAACATAAATAACTTAGAACCGCACATCTGTCAAACTCGGACCACGGCTGCAGATTGATTTTCCTTCTTCCAAGGTGAGATCTGTTTCATTAGTGGTATTCTTAAAAAACAGTCGACATGTTTTGGTGTAGCTCATGCGGCTGTCATCAACCTCAGGATAAAACCTGGTCGTGCTCTGTTAAATCCCCTTCTTAGATATACATGGTAGTCATGAAGTGTGCATGTAATAGAGAAGGTCGATCACCACTACCCTCTCCACTGTGTGTGCCTCAGGACGGTCATGTTCTCCGACCTGAGCGCCCAGAAGGAGGGCTCCTCTCTGCTCTGCCGCCCTGCCTCCGAGGACCAGGGGCCGGTGTTCGAGCGGACCTCTCTGGCCTTCATTCCCTGCTCTGAGCGCTACTCACTCGGGGAGAGAAGCTTCAGTCGCCAGTATGCTCACATCTACGCAGCTCGACTCATGCAGATGAGGCCCCTGCTGTCAGAGAGAGCCCAGCAGAAATGGGGTAGGCCCAGCACACTTTCTTACATACATCTTGGTGGTTGTTATGTTATCATATCCATGTATCGTCACATCTTGTTTGTCTTTTTCCAGGATCAGATGTGCCCATCAGGAATTTGTGTGATCTTCAGATGGGTGAGCAGTGTTGCATTGTGGGCACTGTGTTCAAGCGCATGGAGTTGCAGCCATCTATTCTTAAAGAGATCAGTGAGGAGGTAGGTAAAGGAGGTAGATGCTAAATTCAGCATCAATGGAATGAGCTCTGTCGTGCACCATCTCAGTGTTTTCTTTTCCTTTTGCAGCACAACCTGCTGCCCCAGCCTGCACGAGCCAAATACATCAGTGACACAGATGAGTTGATATTGGAAGACGAGCTCCAGAGAATTAAGCTAGAGGGCAAAATCGAGAAAGACAGGTGTATCACAGGTCAGCATCTTATGTCCAGTATGTCAAATGATGATCTGTGACATATCTCTTGTATACCATCGTGTTTTCTGTTCTCTCTCCTAGGAAGCATTATTGCTATATATGGAGCTGAGAAGAATGATGGGAAGTTCACAGTTGAGGACTTCTGCACAGCTGATCTTCCTTTGCAGACAGCAAGGCTTGCACTCAGCTCAGACAGGTAAACAAACAAACACACACACACATCAAATCCCAGTTTTTTGGGAAAATAGATTCTATTGGTTTTGTCTGTTTTCAGGTTTGTGCTCCTGGCCTCAGGACTTGGTCTTGGCAGTGTTCATGCCGACAGTATGCTGGGGCTGCAGCTGCTTGTTGATATGGTAACTGGTCAGCTCGGGGACCAGGGGGAGCAGAGTGGAGCAGCAACCATTTCCAGGGTCCTACTGGCTGGAAACCTCCTGAGCCAAAGCACCCAGGACAAAGATGCATCAACGAAGGTGACTGAAAGTAATTTATCCTCAACACACATTTGTTTGATTCTGTAGTGTTACTGTATTTTAACATCCATCTGTTTTTCAGGCCAAATACCTCACCAAGAAGACTCAGGCTAGCAGTGTGGAAGCCATTCGTCTGTTGGATGAGCTCCTGCTTCAGCTCGTAGTGAGTCTACAGCTGCTCTGTCTGGATGTGTTCAGTTAAGCTCAGAGGACAAAACATTTCTTACACCTACTATGAGATGATCATTTTCTCATGGTTGCTTTTCATTTTTAGTGGTAATTAATCAAATATTCATCCCTAATACCAAGTAAATGAAAAGGCGCAAACTATCAGATTTTAGAGTGTGGCATAAATTTTGACTTTATTAGTAAAGTTATAGTCCCATGAAGGTAATATTATGGGCTTTAATGTTATGTACCACTGCCTTGTGCTGTCCTAGGCCTCTGTTCCAGTGGATGTAATGCCGGGCCAATATGACCCCACCAACTACACCCTCCCACAGCAGCCTCTCCACCGCTGCATGTTCCCCCTGTCTTCAGTGTACCCCACGCTACAGCTGGCATCCAATCCATACCAGGCCAAAATTGATGGAGTTAGGTGAGTTCTACTGAACAAATGCGCTTTTGTCCAACTTGCATTTAAAGTTTTATTTAAAATAAGTGTAAGCATATGTGTAAGAGCCTGTTTTTGTTTCTTTTCACTTAGGTTCCTGGGCACATCGGGACAGAATGTTTGTGACATTCAGAAGTACAGCAGCATGGACAGTCACTTGGAAATACTGGAGGAAACGCTACGACTCAGACACCTGGCCCCTACTGCACCTGATACTCTTGGTAAGTCAGAGAAGTGGATGCAGAATAAAAAACACTAACCGTCTAATATGTTAACATATCATTCACATGGTTTTCTGTTGGTTTGTCTCAGGATGTTTCCCATTTTACCAAAAAGACCCTTTCATTTTGGAAGAATGTCCCCATGTTTACTTCAGTGGCAACTCTCCAAACTTTGGGTCCAAGCTCATCAAAGGTCAGTGTTTGACCTGCTCATTTATAGTTTCTGTATTTACACTGCAAATGGACTGAATATTTACATTACTATCGGTCATATTACATTTGAATTGTTTCCTTTCTGTTGATGTGTCGATACATCTCCAGGTGCTGATGGCCAGGAAGTCCTTTTGGTTACTGTCCCAGAGTTCAGCAGCACCCAGACAGCGTGCCTGGTCAATCTACGCACTCTGGAATGTGAGCCAGTCAGCTTTTCTGCCTTCTCTGCTGATGATGATGAGGAAAGTGAGATGAACATCAGTCACTGAGGAGGGTCCATATCCACACACACAGTCCAGCAAACGGAGAGTGAGATCTTAAGACACTATTTGTGCACATTCAGACTCAGTTTTCTTGTCTAGAGGCTAATCAATTCCACATGTGGCCAATAGTGACAATCGGTGCTAAACTGGTGCTGTGCAGTATCATAAAGTTCAATGAATTCCTATTAGAATTGTCTCATAAAGTTGCTTTTAATGTTTCTTTTTGACGTGATTTTTTTTCATTAGTTTGTTAGAGGCAAACAGAAATCACTGTTCACAAATGTGCTGAATAAGAACACAAGCATTTTGTATAAACAAGCCTTTATTTGAAAAATAACTCTTCTAACCATCTGTATGCGAACACACATGATAGAAGACCCTTCCCCTGCTCCCCTCCCTCTTTACCTTTTCGCAAGTGTTCACAATGTAAAAAATAATTCTGCCTTGGAGGAAGATAATGTAAATAACTCAGCTCTGGTGAAATTAAAACAATGTCATGAATTTGTTTAATGTGCATCCACAATAAACTTTTCTTTATTAAAAAAACTACTGAATAATGAGTCAGGAAAAATGCAGTTTGAACTGTTAAACTGAAATGATACCATGAAAAAACAGGGTGAATGTCTGTGAAGAGGCATTGTTTCAAGTGTTAAGTAAAAGATACACTATCTTTATACAATAATAGAGTTAATATTCTCTACATTCCCATTGCTCTGTTGATTCTGCATCAACCTGCTTGAAGAACAACATGGAAGTGAGAACTACAAGTGGGAAACAGTTGTTTACAGAAACAGGCAGTGAGTGTTTGGTTTAATAGTCATCAATTTTGTACTCGTAGTTATAATCCAGGATGGAGTCTGTGAACCCACCGGGCGTTGAGGATTGTCCCTCCATTGTGAGCCACGGGTCGTACCAGGATGTGGTGGGCTCTGGCGTTGTGGCAACTGTGGTTGTTGTTGTTGGTGGTAATGTTGTCATCATGGTTGTTGTTGATCTTAGCCTCATTAATCTCTGTTGTCGAAGGCGACGCATACGAGCTATCCTGAGCCTCCTTCGCCGCTCAGCCAAATTCCCATTGTTGCTATCAACCGCACGATTGTTGCTATTAATAACTGAAGGATACTGTGATCTGCTGTTGCTGTAACTGAGTCTAATTGGCTTGTTGCCATGGAGGGCCATGATCTGCAGTGAAATGAAGAAATAACTTCATCATGTACCTGATTAATATGTACTATGGGGTTGGACGGATCAGGGTGGCAATGTCTTACCTGTTTAATGCGGTCCCAGTTGGACTTGGCCAGGTTGAAGCTGCAGGCAGTTGCTCCTGACTGGTAACCCACCACGCAGAGTTTAGTCACAGGGGAGAAGCCTTCAGCTCGAGCTGTCACACGATACTCCCCTGGGTTCAGCAGTCTCCAGTAGTCTCCTGTTAAAGCTACAATATCATAGAGGCGACACAACGTTTAGTTTTTAGCACAGAGGGTCTGTTATTATGATTTCAAGCACCTGACATAAAACATGATGAGACTCAGGAAGGGGAATAGAGAGGAAGTTTTTCACCAGACCTGTGGTGACATCATGGTTTATCCCCTCTACAGACACAGTGGCATTTGCAATGGGGTTCCCCTGCTGGTCCTTCACAATGCCCCTAATGCCACGATGCACCTAGATAGAGGAGGGGAATAAATGAGCCATGAAATGTTGTGAACATTTTCCATTATGATTATAGTGACAAATTATCGCAGTATTGTTAAAATGTGCTGAAAATTTCGAAAAAGCATCGATACATCGAACTGAAGTAACTTCATCATTGATCAAGTTTTATATTAAAATATTATGTTGGTTATCAGTCAGAATAATAATTAGCACCAAGACCATAACAAATGTGTAACATTAACACTGAAGAACGAAGGCTTTAGCTCAGTAAAGAAGCTTTTGTTTTTGAAAGAAAACTTCACATCATTCAGGTTTGAATGAAACCATAAATAAAACAATGTGCATATAAAGCAATGCAACCATTATGAACAAAATATATACAACCACAGCGATCATGATAATTCAAGATTAAAATGGTAACAACTAACCATCATGAATTTTACCACTGTACACTGTGAAACCTGTAACAAATTCATCCTGAGCCACTAGATATTAAAGGGCTTGGTTAATACATTTAACTGGTCAGGTTGTCATAATTGACTGGTCACATTGGCCAGATATAACCAGACTTATTATAGGATGGAATACTTTTCACAAAGTGTTTCTGAAAGCGGACGTTAAAAGATGTTCACTAGCATGTTTTAGCATTCTAGTACATACTAAATGTAAGCAGTCTGTATTTGTATGTGTAACTGACCTGCTCCATGAAGATCAGCATGGCTTCTCTGTTCTTATCCCACTCATATGCTAAGTCACTCTGATGAGGGTACTTATCACAGCCCAGGAATATGGACAACTCAAAACAGTTGGTGTGGAGGTAGCTGAAGTCATTCATACCTGGTGAGATGCACAAGCACAAACATTAACCTCAGAGCTTGCAATGTACACATTGTCCACCAGGATGTGCTGTAAACCCATGCAGACAGTTCTAATAAACCCAGAGGTGTCTACTCACTGCCTGTGATTGGCTTCCATTTGGCCCGGTTGACCATGCCATGCCCCCCTCCAGCATTGTCTCCTTGGCAGGAGCCATGGTAGGTGTGCGTCATGGTCAGGTGTGTGGAGGCGTAGGAGACAGCCAGCCACCTGAAGAGGGACTCGTCTGCAATCACCCGGGGCTCGTCCTCAGGCTCGGAGTACTGGTAGCCAGCGCTTCTTCCTCTGTCATCTTCCTCTTCCTCTCTGCGTTCAAAACCTTGGTTGTAACTGTTGTCATGGTCGTACCCACGGTCGTCATAACCACGGTTGTCATACCCATGGTCGCGCCCTTGATCGTATCCACGGTCGTGACCTTGATCGTATCCATGGTTGTATCCATGCTCGTACCCACGGCCATCATACCCGTGGTCTTGGCCATGGTCTTGGCCATGTTCTTGGCCATGGTCTTGGCCATGGTCTTGACCATGGTCATACCCATGACCCCTCCACTCCTCCTCTGGTTCTGCGTATCCCCTACTCCTCCAGTCCTCCTCTGGCTCCTCTTGATAACCCCTTCCCCAATCTGTCACATCAAAACCTTCCTCCTCATACCTGTAAGAAATTATTCCAGTTGAATAATGTGACTTGCTTGTAACTGCAGCAGGATAAAGAAGAAGGGGAAATTAAAGTTTATGAAATAAACGTGTGTAAAACAGGAAAGAAGAAGGGAGTAAGTCGTACTGTCTCTTCTTGCGGCTGTGGGGTTTCTGGCTCTGGGCAGGCTTGTTGAGACGTAAGCTGTCATAAGGATAGGCCACAATTCTCTCCCCGCCCTGGAAGTTCGCACCCAACACAAATGGATGGTTTTTCATCCAGGAGATTATGGCCCTGGTTTCCACTGCAATCTGGAACAAAAAACAGGAAGCTCAGGATCAGGAGTGGAAGGAAACCCCAGCACAGTATACTTACAACTGGTGATGAGTGGCCTTAGCTGAAGGTTTTAATCCTCAGCATTTATGATTAGTGAGTTGTAATACCCTCGTCCTTACCGAGGTGTTGGTGTCGAAGCCTTCTGGTATGGGCACATGATGGTTGGGGGTGAGTTTGGGCACCATTCCCTTATCTTCAGCATCCCACAGGATTCCGTTCAGGTCAGGGAAGTTCTGGAAGATGTCAAAGCCATCCTCAGTGAAGTGTCCTGTGGTCACACCACTCAGCTCCGATCCCTGTGAAATGAGAAATTGTATGAAGGAATCATTTCTTTAGTTTTTTTTAATTGCCACTTAATTGCAAACATGATTTTTTTCTACCAACCGCTTCGAAAGCTTCTTTCTGTCCATCGGGGTTCAGTGAGGGCACCAGGTGGATGCGTATTCCCTCCACCAGGCGCTGGACTCGGGGGTTTCTGTCTTTGTACTCTTTGCACAGATACTGCATGAGAAGAAGAAGCAACTCGCGACCTGTCGCCTCGTTTCCATGGAGACCTGCCGTGAAGCGAAATTCCGGCTCACCTGCGCAGACAGACAGACAAGATTGTAGCTGTTTGTCTGTTTACCATAATCTTTATACTTCCAACTGGTGTTTATTAGGATTTACTGGAATCATGGCTGGTGCCAAGACACAACACTACTGTTTTAATTTCCACCATTGATAATTTTAGTGTTAGAAAGCCTGAGAGAAAACTCCTGGTTGTGCATCAGCTTGCAAAGAACACATGCTTTTGAGGGTTTTATTTTGGTATTGCTCATGCATGATAAAAAATGAATTGCGAGGATAATCAACAAATCTAAAAATGTGCCTCTTTCATATTCGTCTAAACACATTCCCACCTATTTCGTGCTCTGTGGGGTTGCTAGAGATGACGATGGCCATGATTTCCAGTCCCTTGGAGCTGCGGCCCAGGCTGTAGATGCTGGTGATGTTGGGACACTCTTCATGCACTGACTTCATAAGCTGTTGGATGATGGTAAAGTTAGTGTGTAAAGTATTGTGTATCATGTTTATTATGAAAGAGCTGATGATTGCCATTGTATTAGTGTAGAACGGCTGTGTTGCCCTCTGGTGGTTGAAACAGTGAAGGAATGTGCCTTCTGCAGTGGTTTTGAAATGAGTTGATATTTAAAGCAGATATCCGGACTCAGTGTTCAATCATTCCTGGGAATTTATTTTGTTTCAGTTTAAGAATTTCCTGTGGAATTTAATCAGCTGGTGGACATTAAGTTGCCGGCGTGCAGGGATACTCACTGCAACCATTTCTGAGTAGCTGTGATGTTTGAACTCCAAGTAATCCACCGGAGTCACTTCATTTTGCCTGAACTGTACATCAGCTGGATCTGTGAGGCAGAGGGGAACAGAGCACATTATCAATTGTGTGTGTTTGATTGTGTGCATGCATGTATTGGTGTGTTTATGAAGCTCACCAAGCTGTGGGCAGCCGAGGACTTCCAGTCTCATACACAGAGAGCCGTTCCAGCTCTGAGGGATGATCCGGATGTAGCGGGCCACCATAGGCTCTGCCAGCTGGTTCATCACTGGAGTGTCCTTATCGCTGTTTGCAAAGAACAGCTGGAACGAGAATGTGAAAGTCAGGGAAGGAGACATTACACAAGGTGCCCAGGGAAGTAAGAAGATTTCAGGTTAACTCACCCAGTCGGCATATCCATCATGGATGGTGGTCCATTCTCTGCTGTCATTGCTGAACGCTAAGAAGTATGATGTCACATAGTCACTCCTGCAACAAGACAACATGCATTACCATGATGAATTCAGGGATGGGATAAAGTGTGTGCTGTGTGTGCAGTTTGTGTTTGCTCGTGTCTCACTCATTCTGGGAGTCTCGTCCCTGAGTGATGACTCCAGTGAACTCTGTCTCCTTGCGAGCATCGATCTCAAACCAGTGGATTCTGTCCTCTGAGTTTGCACACCAAGCGCCACCTCTCATGTTGTCTTCATCGTCAGAGCCCT